CCGGGTGCCTGGGTTTACGTTTCCTACGGCGAGCTGCTGGGCCCAAGTTGCAGTTCTTCATATTTAGTAGCAATTGAGGGTTCTTGGGTTTTTTTGGGATGGTGAACGTGCCGCCTGGATGCTGTAACGTGCCACCTCATCACACCAGGCCCGCCTGCGTGCCACCTCGTGTTCTAACGTGCCGCCCCAACTGCAACGTGCCGCATCAGCAGATTTCCGCCCGCAACGTCGTACTACGTGCCGAAAACAAAACGTCGAGGCGGAAGGCATTTATCTTAGAAGCCCGCAAATCTGCTCAGAACAGAATCCCTCGAAGCATCCCTCAAATACGTGCGTGCTCCCTCGATTACATTAGGTAGCGTGCCGCCTCGAAAATCAGCCCCGACACCACCGAAAGGGAAACCAATCCTACGTGACCCCCCATTCAGGCGGAACTCAGGGTCCACCCATGTCCGCCCCGCACAGCGCCCAGGAATGCCAGCGGTGAGATGGTTCACGGCCAGGCTGCAGGAGCTCAGCGAATGCCTTGGATGCGAGCACATGGTACCCAGCGTGCCGCCTCAGCCCGAACGTGCCGCCTCGCAAACCCAACGTGCTACCTCGATTGCAATCTAGCCATAGTCTGCATCCCACTACCCAAGGAGCACATCCGACGACACTGCAGCAGAAGCCAGGGCTAATATCCATCGCAAGATGCAATTCATCGATCAATGTTTTCGGGATGGCCGGCCATTGGGGGAAATGGCCCTGACACCCGCATCCTGGGAGGTTCTCCATTTGCACTAAAGCTTAAGGCCTTGCTGGTGTCCTTTTCTGTTTCTGTTCGAACACGAACCTGGTCACCAAGGATCTCATTGATTCCTTCCGGGCGAGATGCTTGGACATGAAAGTGCCTTTGCGACCGAGAATATTTCCTGCCGAAGAGCCACCTGCTGCTTCAGAAGCAGCCGAGCCGGCCACCTCTGTTAGTGAAACTAGCCCTGGAACCAGCTACTGCAATCTGCGAACACTTTATCTTGATTGTCGGGCCGCCGTCAAGGGTGTACTGCAGCTACACAAGGCTCTGCTACGATGAAATGGTATGTATGGTGTGTAGTAATTTAATTTAAATCTACCGGAGGGTCTCATTCTGCCAAGCCCCTCTGCAGGTTCTGGACCAGGACCAGAACCTCCAGGGATACACTTTTCTCTGGAGAGTGGAGGAGGCATGGCAAGTTATGAAACGGCAAACAGCCTTTCATAATTGGTTCACGAAAGTGTACCTTGGACTGTGGTGGCAGGGTTTCCTACAATGCAAGTATTTCGTCACTGCTACTCATGTAGCAAATGTGCCTAAGGCAAGACCTCCAGGGTGCCCAATTGGCCGATGCATGGCGAGTGGCATTCTCTGTTCATTTCATTACTAGACAACACTATCGTGGCCACAAAGCAGCTGTGCTGGATGACCTGCCACGAATCAGCTTCGACGGCATGACCACACCCGGTCTGTTGTTTTCTGTGCTTTGGCACCAATAACAGGAGCAGATGTGCACGCACTGCAGTCGCGATGCTTCTTATTTTATGTGCTTGTCCACTTGCAATGCCAAGGTGGCCTGTGGGCTGCAAGTGCGGGGCTGCAAGCCTCAGTTGCAGAAGTCTGCGATTGCAGCAATGGAAGTGATCACAGGAGCTGCCTTGCCGGCCGATTACGTGTTGGATCTTCTCCCCGGCAACGCTGAATGATCCTAGGACTAGATAAGCTTCATGCTTGCACCTTCAATGATTCAAGATTTCTGCAATGACTTCGTAGCTTAGGCTCCCTGACAATCAAAGACCGCCAAGTGGATCTTTCGGGATTGAAGAGTTTCCTCGACTACACCGGGCTCACCCAGAGGCTCGCGACTGTACTTGCCGCAACCAATCATAATCATATAGCTAACTAACTAACGACTAATTACTAGGTTCCTGAATAGCACCCTTTTACCCTTTTGGATTTTAGGGTTCCCTGATTAAAACCGACTAATAAGAAAGGGGCACCCTTGGTTCATAAATAAGGGGCTACTGAGGGGCCTAGGTTAATTAGCTGTCAGGATTACTAAATTGATTAATAGTTACTTCATTCAATTCCGAAGCCCTGAACCCGAAGGTGGGAACGCAACCAGCTGCTGACACCTGCACAGCGAAGCCTCCACACAGGCCTATGTGGAATCCGAAGTTCATGCTCAATTGTTGGACACAGTGTTTGCTGAGACTTTGCAGGAGTCCGAATGTCTACGGTGGCATGGTTCATCTTTCGGGCACCTTTTCAGGAGACCTTTCAGGACAGCCGCTGAATAGGGCGAATAGTAGGGGACTCCGCCTTGAAGCATAAGCCGCTGACTGTGCCAGGACGAGATTCGGTTTAGCCGGCTGCACAAGCGACTGATTCATCGCCTGTCGCAGCTGGTGGAGACCCACCTGAGCAAAGTGCTTCAGGCTACGTTGCCCACACCGCAAAGTGGAGATGTTCTGCACCCGGCTAAAAGGCCACTCGGCAACCACAAGTAGGGTAGACCTAGCAGTTTGTTCGAAGTACACGTGGCAATGCGATTCTCTGTTGATAGCGACCTGACTCAGGGATGGGCGGCGAGCCCGTGGCGAGCCGAAAGTGCAGAACATGCTGGCAATCGACAGGTTCATGACAAGAGGCGGAGGATTCGTCAGCTCCACCGCAGACAGCAGCCTGGAGTCCTTGGATTTGGGTGGAATCCTCCCTCCCAACTACAATCGGACCTTCGTCTGAGTTTTGTTTTGCTGAGCTACTGGGGCCTGTTGCTGTTGGGTTCTAAACCAAACAAATTTTGCACCTGCAAGGACAACGGCGGATTTTGTCTACAGACATATTCGAAAAACTGGCGAGATGCTATCCCAGGCTCCCGCTGGCATTCAGTAAATGTAAACCATGTAGAGGCAGACGCAGTTGTCCGCAGGAGATGGCACAGCAGTCGCTGAAGAGCTTGGCCTTCTTGTGCGACGCATCACCGAAGGGATGTGTTGATGTATTTCGGCTAATCTAAGAATGTGCAACAGTCTCTTGGTGATTCTGAATGCATGTGCTGCTGAACCCGAGGTTTGGCTCCCTGTCGTCGCAGCGAATCAGTTTGCATCCGTGGCAACTTTACAGAAGCTGTCGGCTTTGCTGCCGAGCACTGCTGATGCTTCGGAAAAGATGAAAGCCGCTCAACAAGTGGCCGACTCCACTACAAAACTGTTGGTTGCAAGCCGGGACAAGAAGGAGCATCGACCCAAAATGAAGCTGGGCTAGCAATTGCTTTGTGGTTTACTGTACGCTGCTTATTACATGTACAGGCACAGCCCATTGCTTGATTCAGTGATTGCAGCATACGACAGATTCCCATCAATCCAAAAAGGCCCAGAATCATCAGCGGCCTGCACCAAGACAAGCTCACCGCCAGAGAGCACATCCGAGCGGTTGGCAATGTCCTGAATCACTTGGGAGTGGCATTGGATGACATTTTTCCAAAGAGCCCCCTAAAGCCTCTGGCCCCAACTTCTGAGATCTTGGCGACTTATGAAATGGACGGCAAGACTATGCCTTTCGTTGCATCTCTTCAAGACGCGACTTCAAGATGGGACGTCCCGGACACTGAGTCCGCACATGTTCGATTGATCGTGTGCCCTGACGAGGGCAGCCCGATGTTCAGCAGCTATGTGTTTTTGGCCACCCGGAATGCCGCCATCAATTTGTGCCGCGATGAATTGCTACTAGGCTGCTACTTGTTTCATTCAAGGGAATGCAGCGCCGAATGCCAGAATTACTCCATAGTCATAATCGTTGCCCTGCAACAGCCAAGGCACAAGCTGAGCCAGCATTGCCAGCGAGTCCTGGCATCGTCGCCTATGATGAAGCGATCCTCGGATGAGACTAGTTCGGGTTCTGTCCTGGATTTTTGTGTGTGGCAGCTGCTAGGGACATTGTGGGTTTGAGGAATGAGTACGCTCACTTCGTGGCTTTTCAGATGTCGCAAGAGCCCGTGGAAAACGCACGGCCTTGGCTGCAATCTCTGTGCCGCTGGCAAGCGATATCTTGATGTGGTCACTGGGAAGCACTTAGACCCTAGTTAGCCTAGTTGCTCAACACTGCTGATGGCTGTGAATCACAAGCTGCTTCGTGCTGCCGAGGCTGCACCTGATGATGTTCTTCAGCAGCTCTTCGGCCACCATACCCTGATTGAGAAGCTTGGCTGGGAATGTACTATCCTTTCTACCTTTCTCGCTGTCCTGTCCACAAACCAGGAACAACATCGCCCCCGAGTGCGACGAGCAGGTGAATTTCGATCGGGTATCCGAGATTCTTGGGAAGCTCTGCAGGACGCGGTTTTGCCAGATCAAGTCTTCTCGCAATCCAATACCGTGACCTCTAGGGTTAAGTCTGTACATATGTAGACGAACACAACAAATGAATTTGTATGTTTGTATGTATATATATATATATATATGTATATGTGTAGATACAGAGAGCGAGAGGAAGAGGCAGAGAGAGATAGAGATACACAGACCATCTAGTGACGACTACTTCTGAAGGATCCATCAAGAGAGCTACGAGCACAAACGATGGTGTAGCTGGGCTTTTGCCTCCCGGAGATGCCAATTCTCCGGAACACTGTTGCTGATGTTCTGGTCTGGAATGGAGGCAATGCGGGTGCAATGTTTGCTGCAGGGACGCTTGCATGAACACACAAAGCCCTAGTCTTGCGATCTTGTTGCCAGACTGGCCACAACCCCTTTGCAGTGCTGGACAAAGCGAGCCAAGAGACTCCGG